AATGGTGGTGAAACTGGATCATCAGACGATGGTAATGGAGGAGTCACTAGTTCAGACGATGGTAATGGTGGAGTCACCAGCTCCGATGATGGAAATGGTGGAGAAACCGGATCATCAGATGATGGTGGTAACGGTGGAAACACAAGTTCAGACAACAACGGTGGAAACGGTGGAAACACTAGTTCTGACGGTAATGGCGGTAACGGTGGTAACACTGGTGTAACCAGCTCAACCGACGATGGTAATGGAGGAAACGGTGGTGCTACCAGTACTGATGATGGAAATGGAGGTAATGGTGGATCCACTGAGACTCCAGGCGGAAACGGTGGTAACAACGGTGGTAACGGTGGAGATGGTAATGGTGGTAATGGTGGTAACAATGGTGGTAACAATGGTGGTAATGGTGGAGATGGTAATGGTGGTAATGGTGGTAACAATGGTGGTAATGGTGGAGATGGTAATGGCGGTAACAATGGTGGTAACGGTGGTAACAATGGTGGTAACGGTGGTAATAACGGTGGTAGTGGTGGAGATGGTAACGGATCTGGTAACGGAGGATCTGGCAATGGTTCAGGATCTGGAGATGGATCAGGAGCTGGTAACGGAGGATCTGGTAACGGATCTGGTTCAGGCTCTGGTTCAGGCTCTGGTTCAGGCTCTGGTTCAGGATCTGGTTCTGATAATGGATCAGGCTCTGGAAACGGTTCAGGCTCTGGTAACGGATCTGGTTCTGATGGTTCAGGCTCAGGATCAGGATCAGGCTCAGGCTCTGGAGCTGGAGAATGTCCTCAATGTACTGACTACACCACTGGATACACCACTACCCAAGATGATGGAGCTGTGGTCACTGGTAACCTTGAAATCATTGTCACTACTACCGGTACTGATGGTGGTTTAACCACTGAAACCAACACTTTAGATGCTTTTACCGTCTCTACTGCTTGTGTAAGAGGTAACTGTGTTACTGAAGGAGGATCAGGTTCTGGATCAGGTTCTGGATCAGGTTCTGGATCAGGCTCAGGATCAGGCGAAGCTCCAGGTGTTTCAACAGCCGAAGGTTCTGCTTCAGGAATTGCCACTCCATTATCATTAGTGTTGATGGCTTTAGCTTCAATTCTTTTCTTATAATACCCTTAAAATAGTTTTTGACTTCTCCCGACATGGTCGTACTTTCGTTTCGTATAGTCTAATTTTTACATTTTTAATAAAGGTCTCTATCTCTGGATGTAGAAGAAGGTGAAGATAGTAGAAAGACGCTGTGTGAGAAGGGTCGTGAAGATAGTTGAAAGAACAAAGAAAGATCATTAGACATTGAGTCACAAGAACAGCGGGTAACAAAGACACTACTAGGCAAAAAAGCCCATTGCGTATCAATCCTCTGACCATATCTACAACCCTCACATGAACTACCCAATTCAAACTAGTAAGTCCCACCGCACCATTAGTACGGCCAGGTCGGCGAAACTCCCTAGCATATATTCATCCCGCACCATCTCCCCCTAAATTGGTACTAAGAAATGATACTCGCGAAGATTATTACCCACACACGACCGCGATGTCCAATGAAAACAGTACTAAATTTGAGAAAAAACTCAATCGTAAGATTTTGAAAAACTTCAACACTATGGCTATCGATCCAGAAACTTTTAAATTTGAAACTCCCCAATTTGATCCAAGATTCCCAAATCAAAATCAAACTAAGAATTGTGCCCAAAACTATGTTGATTACCAAAAATGTATTGCCATTAAAGGAGAAGATTTCGAACCATGTAAAATCTTCTGGAGAACTTATACTTCATTATGTCCAGTCGATTGGGTCGAAAAATGGAATGATCAAAAGGAAGCTGGTAAATTACCATTCAAACTTGATTAAATAAAGGGCATACTAGATTAAGTTTATTCATTAACGATTAATATATAAAAGATATTGAACCAGCTCCAGGTATGTTTTGGAGTACCAGTCCTATGAGAGTAGTACTATGAAACTAGTCCTATGATTTCTAAGATAGTGCTGGGGATGACCACGTACTCAATTGTTGGGATACAAACGTAGATATGACAATTGATAGGATACTTAGTTGATTCCAAGAATGAAACATTAGTTGGGATATATCAGTTGTTGGGATTATTGAGGAACGGCAACATCTTCTTGGAATCAATTTTTAGGATCCATCGTAAGTATCTGTTATTAGTACCTGACTAGTCGCTGGTACGGGATCAGTCTTGAGTATCCAACCCCCAGTTCCCAGTGCTCGATTTTTCCTGAACTTGTCTTCTCTAACAATTCCTTACCGTTCTTGTCTCTGAAACCTTGCAATGGCACTTGAAATGCCATGTTTTCAAAATCACTGTCTGGCCAATGCATTCACTATCTAACAGTTACATGTCTTGACTGTGAGTATACAGAGTGAAACAGATAGCTTCAGAGTTGTAGTTCTGATTCAACAGACAAAGTATCATTGGTGCTACACAAGAATATTGGGACGACATACGTTGAATCCCACCGATAAACTCATGTAATCGATCCACCAGGTACTAATTCCGAAATCATCTACCAGAAGGTGAATTCAAGAACCAGTTGGTGGTAGGGTGACTTTGGTTTTCTTCAATAGGGGACTTCAGATAGCTTACAACCTCCTGCGTACATTCAATTTGAACATCAAAGGCTTCCAAAACTCTAGCGCTGTGGACTTGTGGATTCCTGAGACGTGGGAAAGGGAAGTTTGAAAGACTGGAAAAACGTAATTATAACCGTATTGAAGAATGAATCTTTTAACGAGTTGCGTCATTTCGTTGAGGGATTGGCTGAGATTAGGGTCTGTTGACCTGTCTCTTTCAAGTCTCATGAGCATTTTTAAGAATTCTCGTTTGAAAGCTTCTGGCAGAAGATTATTCGGGACATCCTGTTGGGAATTCTGTTCCATGTTCTCTTGAGTGCTCTCTTGGGTGTTCTCTTGGGTGTTCTTTTGGGTGTCTTTTTGCATTTTTTTCAGGATATTTTAATTTGTGGTTTTTGTGGATCAATTTGCAGCCAGGATGAGAAACTATTTCTTGTCACGTGACAAGACTGGAGATGTTTGAGGTTTAAGAGTTTGTATGAATGGAATCACGTGAATTAAGTATCATGATCTTACGGTATAGAATTCCTCAAGACGTGCTAATTTGAATGCCTTGGATCTTCTAAGAAATTCATTTTTTGGAACGTCGTAATCATTCAAAATTTCATTGATTCTTGATGATTTTGAACTTTGGAGCTCAGCCAAAGTTCTGGGATAGTTTCCTACGTTTTCATTTTCATTCCAAATGATGGCTGGTGATCATTAAATCTACAAACAAAGTACCAATTACATAAAATCGTCTTCATAATTTTCCAGAATAGTCAAATTATTTGATGCATGCATGTTCTCTTCAGTGAATAATTCACCATATGGATCATCTTTAGCTTTCCTCTGACTTTGATATTGTTTAGCCAATTCCTTTTCTTGATTTTGAATCATCCTTTGATGCTCTTTCTTCTTTCTTTCAAATTCAATTTTTTCTCCTTGACGATTATTTATGAACTCATCCGTAGATATCTCTGTTTTAGTCTTATTCAATTTATTAATTATCATATTATCCTTCTTACCTACATTAATCCTTTTCACCAATTTAGGATTGGAAAAAGTTACGGTACCAATATCCATAGATCCATCACTTATTAAGTTATCTACTGTGGTATAAATAATCGTAGCATTAGGCATCTTATTACCTTTGATTGAGTTATTCTTGGTTAATTGGCCTATTTGATCTAAAATACTGCTGGGTATTATCAAATCCTGAAACTTCTTTAATCTTTGCTCATCACTTAGTTCAAGATAAAGATGAGCTGAACTTACTTTATCTACATGAAACCAAAGATCTTTTGGATGTGAATGTTTAATAAGAGGATCATTTTCAACTTTATCTCTTCCCATATAAATCAGATATTCCTTAACATCGAAATCATCATCGAATTTGGCTTTAAAGTAGTAAACCATTGATGTTTGAGATTGTAACACAGGTTTTTTGAATTCTACACTAATCGGTACATACACTATGTTTTTTTTTTAATTTGTCTCAGGTTTCAAAATGACAGGAGAATGTGAAACGCGACAATTTCTGTTTTGAGATAAAACTTTAAATCCCCCAAATTCACTCCTTTATCCCACCTTATACATTCATTTATTGACAAATCTTGTCATCTAGGGGAAGTTTTAGTTATTACAACAACCACATCATTGTTTTTCTATCATTTAAAATCAGTTTACCGCAAATTTTCATTTACTCATTCAAGAAAGGCTGGCTATGGATATTGACCATGAATCATTGATTGAATTCGAACAAGGATTAGGTGATTCTAATCCTAAAGATACTTCCATCACCTTACACAATCTAGAAATCAAGATCGAATATAATATTGTCCCCAATAATGATATTGAAAGTATTGAAGTGATTAATATTGATGATTACTTTAGTAAATATTCCTATGATTTAGATGAGTTTACTACATGTAGTGAATGTGGGAATTCTATCAACACCAATAACAAATGTTGTTTACAATATGTTGAAGATTCCAAACATCTTTCATCATTAGAACGATCATATTGGTTATCATTCATAAATTGTCCCACCAGAACTATCAACACCTTACCCAATTATTCTCAATTTTTATTCTTACAACAAGGGATTCCTTATCAGATGAGACAAGCTATTTGGAAAAAGTTGTTCTTAATCAATTATAACAATCAGATTCCAGAAACTTCATTATTGGTATATAAGAACTTTCAACATTCATATAATACTGAAACTTCTGATCAAATTTCTAAGGATTTGAATAGAACCTTCCCCAGCATTAAATTTTTCAGTGAGGAGGATAATATTAGACATTTGGAAACCATTTTGAACGTATATGCCAATTATGATGTCGAATTAGGGTATTGTCAAGGACTATTATTCTTAGTTGGATCATTATATTATCAATTCAAAGACCCTCAATTGACATTCCACGCACTTATTACTATCATGGAAAGTGAAACTGAATTACATGATATCTTTACTCAAGAATTGATGTCTATAACGTTAAACAATTGGTATAATCAATTCAAAAACATCTTCCAGCATACTGACCCCGAGTTATATTATCATTTAATGACATTTGTTGATTTAAAAGTGTTCTTATATCAATGGTGGTTATCATTTATGTCTAGTCATACACCATATTTTTCAATTATCAATAGAATCATGGACTTTTGTTTACTCCAAGGGTGGAAAATTGGAATGTTTAAGATCTCTTTAGGATAATTGTTGATCAATAAACCTATTTTGATGACAATGGCTGAAGGTGATGAAGAAGTTATCTATCAACATTTATTAAATGAATCCAAATGGGGATTGGTTATCCATGATATCAACGGATTCTTTGGTGATTTATTGTTTAATATTGATGCCAAATTATTATTGAATCAACATAAGAACAAACCAATGAAAACCCATAAACGTACACAGTCATCCATGATGGATAAATTCAAGAACTTGAATATTTCCAGTTACTCAATCCCTTCATCCAGTTCAATCTTTTCAAGGAAGAATCACGATGGTGATTCAATTTATTCTGAATCAACCTGTGAATCTGATGCCTCCGACAAAGATCATTTGAAAGTACCTACAGATAAGGGAAAGATGTATAGAGATTTGTTGAGTAAATGTTTAGATCATATTGAGGATGAAACATTAAGGAAAGAGATCATGGAAGTTTTATAATGCATATTGATTTTTATTCTCTTCATCTTGGCCTCTTTATTTAGTCTCCATCTGGCCTCCATCTGACCTCTATCTGACCCCCCCACTATGGTCAAACTAAACCCTTAATAAACCTCCATCCAAAAGCCTTTCCAATCTCCCACACTAAATCTCAATCTCAAATCCGGGTAACTCTCATGCTCACTAAAAGTCCAACGCTGCCAAAAAATTTTTACCATTGAATAGGACTACTGAATAGATCCATTCTTATTGTATATATAATCAACTTTATTCACTTCAAAGTAAATTATAACCACAATTGCATTATTGTATCGAGAATTTCATTTATCCCGAACAATTTCATAAAAGATTGCCCCCCACCCAAAAACTCCAGCAAGACTCCCAGACTTTATAGACTCGGATCACCTTCCAAATATTATTAATTTTAAAGGTTTTTAAACGTGAGTTATCAAACAGAAAGCCCCCCGGGCGTTATTGAAATCGAAAATATTATCACCAACCAGTTAAATATCTTAATTTCTACTATTAACGATAAGAATTTTTATCAACATAATAGTCAAATTCAACATATTTTAAGAGATTGTAGTGTTCGTGTATTAAGTAATTATATTACCAAGTTAATCCATTTATTAACTTTATCCTACACTCATCCTAAAGCCGAAGTAACATCAATTGAAAAGTTATTCCAATTTGTTTTAAATCACCGATTTGTTAGTATTGATTCTTTTGATATAGTTTGTTCAAGAATCGATAGTTTTTTCAAATATATTACTCCAGAAGAATTCATTGAAAGATATCAAGTAAGTGCCGTATTTGCTGTTTATTTAATCGGTTATAGAACTAAAGATAAAGAAGTTAAAGATAATACCCTTTTACTTATTAGTCTTATTAAAAAATTTAAAACTGAATTTTTCACCAATCCTAACAGTACATCAATTTTCCTCCAAGTTACTGTTCTTAATCCATTTTTCCCTCTTGCAGCTAAATTTTTCATTCATAAATATTTCCAAAAATTCCAAATTCCTGGTGAAGAAGCATTTAATAAAGGTTTAACCATGTCAAATTTTAAAGAAAGTTTAATTCAATTAGCTGATAAAGCCAATGAATTATCACCAAAAGATATTTTACCAGTATTATTAAAGAATAATTCCAATAATGTCGTTAGTAATTTAGCTATTATTATAGCTGAAATGTTAATTCCAGGAAGTCAAAAATTACCTCCTACATTTTTCCATGGTGGTAATTCCCTTCCTGAATCAACAGCTAAGGGATATCAATTAAGAGTGGTGTTAGAATCCATTGATAAAAAATTTAATATTAGTTGGTATATTGTTTTCACTAAAGTTCAAGAAGAATATCTTTTTGAATCTAGTCAACGGAATATTGTTCCTGATATGTTAAATATTAATCAATTTTTATCAGCTATTGATTTTAAAAATGGATTATTAGATATTTTCCTTAATTATGATTGGTATTTTAGTAAAAAATTGGTATTAGATTTCCATAAATTAGAACCAAAAGATGGAGCTTATGATTTAAATTCATCTAATAATTTAACTAGATGTTTTGATGAAGTTGAAACTACTATTGAAACTCAACTAGGTAAAAGAAATATTATTTCATTTATTAATATTGGTAAATTGGAATTGCACGTGATGAATCACGTGATGGCCCATAATTCAAGAGATCAATTATCTTCTGAATTAAGTAAAATTTTCGATCATCATTGTCATACATTCCCGGAATATTTACTTTCAGCATGTTTAGCTACTGCTGATAAAAACCCTTTCATTTTAAATATCATTGATTCATTATTTTCCCTTCTTATTGATCATAATAGTAAATTTTTAAATCAAGTGATGATGAAATTTAAAGAATTAGATAATCAATTAGCTTTAGAAAAACTTGTGGATTATTATATCGTTAGAAATTCCACCGAATCGTTATTAAAAGTTTTCAACATAGCTATGGAATTGAATTTTATTCCTGAACTTGTTAATAAAGCTTGGGATAAGAATTTTAAACTCGGATTAATGTTTACTATCAACAGTAGTTGTTTCGGATATGATATCAAGGGACAAATCGATACTATGTTCAATGATCCTAATCAAAAACCTATGTTACTTCAATCAGTAGTTGAAATTTTAGAATTAAGATGTAATGAAGATCAACAACAAACTTCAAATCCTTCCATTGATAACTATAAAAGTTTACCTTTACCAACAGTTTATTACTTATTATCAATTTTGGGTAAGAACAATGGAATCATTGATAATGAAAAGTTTAAGAATTTACAATTACAATTATTAACTTGTTACCCCAGATTGATTAATTTTGGTACCGGACATGATGAAGCTATTTTAGAAAATGCTAAGAATCATTCAGGATTCCCTGAAGATATCGAATTAGAAATGAAGGAATATTACTCCCAATTATATAACAAGAAGTTAGATAGTAACACCATTGTTGATATGTTAGTACGTCTTAAAGGTAGTGATGTTCCAAGAGATCAAGATGTTTTGGCATGTATGATTCATTCATTATTGGATGAATATAGATTTTTCTCTGAATATCCCATTGATGCTTTAGCTTCAACTTCCTTATTATTTGGTGCTTTATTACAAAAGGATATCATTCAAGGTACTACCCTTACCGTGGCCTTGAACTTTATTTGGGAATCATGTAATCTGCCACCAGATTCTCATCTTTTCAAATTTGCTGCTCAAGCCTTATATAACTTCAAATCAAGATTACATGAATATCCAAATTATTGTAAGAGATTATTGGATTGTAAATCATTATCAACTCATCCTTTGATGTATAAGATTGTACAAGATGCTTCTAATGGTATTCCATGTGTTGATAGTAAGAAAGATACTTCATCAGGCGAAAAGATGAATAGAAGAATTGAAGATTCAGGATTGAAATATCAATCACTTTTCCCTACTAATCAAACCATTGGTTTAATCACTCAAGAAAAACCTAATGAATCTGTTAGTGATAAATTATTATTCTTTGTTAACAATTTAACTGAAGATAATTTGAATGGTAAATTAGGTGAAATCAAAGATTTACTTAGTGAAAATTTCTTCCTTTGGTTTGCTGATTATTTGGTTGGTGATAGAGCTAAGATTGAACCAAATTATCATAAATTATATTGTGATTTGGTCAATAAACTTGATAATGCTATTCTTCATGAATACATTTTAAACGTGTCATTGAGTGAAGTTTCTAATTTGATCCGAAACTTTAAAGATACTTTCAATGAGAGAAATCATCTTAAGAATTTGGGTAGTTGGTTAGGTCAAATAACCTTAGCTTCTGATAGACCATTGAAAAGAAATCAAATTGGTCTTAAATTCTTATTGGTTGAATCTTTTGATTTCAAAACCTTAAACATTATCATTCCTTTTGTATGTAAAATCTTAGATCAAGCTCAATATTCTAAGATCTTTAGACCTCCAAATCCTTGGGTTATGGGAGTGTTTAAAGTATTGGTGGAATTATATGAATGTGGTGATTTGAAATTGAATCTGAAGTTTGAAATTGAAGTATTATTGAACTCTTTCAATATGAAAGTTAGTGAAATTACTCCTTCAAGTTTGATTAGATCTCATAATCCAAACCCTCAAGCTTTAGCTGCATTATTTGGTATTCAACCAAATGGTAATAATCTTACCAGTGAATTTTCCAAAATGACTGATAATTTCGTTCCTCAATTCCAATCTCATCCACCAATTCCTCAAATGGTTCAAAATGGCAATAGATTACCTGAAGAATTGGCCAATCAAGGTCTTAATCATCAAGCTATTGGTCAAGGTCTTGGACAAGCACAAGGCCAAGCTATTGGTCATCAACCTATCGGTCAAGGACAAGGTGTAGGTCCTAATCAAACACCTAATCAAGGTCCACCTCAATTAGATACTTCTTTCAGTACTTTGATTGGTAACACTATCTTCACCCAAAATCCTAACTTAAGAAGAGCTTTCCAAGCTTCATTATCAAGAGCTGTTAGAGAATGTGCTATTCCAATTTTGAATAGAACCACCGAATCAGTTCTTACTACTACTGAAGCTTTGATCAAGAAAGATTTCGCTCGTGAAGGTGATATCAATAAATTCAGAAAGAGTTATCAAACCTTGGCTTTGAAGTTATCTCAAAGTATGATTGCTTGTAATGGTAGAAAGATTTTGAGTGAAACCGTGGAAAATACCATGTTACAATTATTATCCCACCAAATCAATTTGAATGACTTACCATTAGGAGAGTTGAATTCAGCTATTCAAAGTAACGTTGACCTTTGTGTTGATATTGTTAATAGGTTAGCTGCTGGTCATATTATTGAATCTGTTGATGATCGTATGAGATCAGGTATCATAGCTCGTGAACAACTGCACCAAAAGGGCGAGCAATTCGTTGATAATACTGCTGGACTCGTCAATTTACCTTTACCTTTAGGTATTAAAGCTGAAGGTCTTGCAGCCAATCAATTATCTATATATGAAAATTTCGGTGTTAATATTATTAGAGAATCTGTTCCATTACAATCTCAACCACCACAACCCCAACCACCACAACCCCAACCACCTCAACCTCAACCCCCACAACAACAACAACAACAACCTCCTATGGGAATGGTTCAATCAATACCACCAAATTTACCTCACGGGCCAATGATTCAAGAAGAAATCATGCCTGCAGAACAATTATTTATGGTTATTAGTCAACATTGTGATCGTTTGGTTGCTAGTTCATTAGAAGTTAAACAATCTTCATTATCAGAATTAACTCCTGATCATCCTTTGATGCAAAGTATCGGTACTATTTTAAGTTTAGCTCAAAGTAATGCACTTAAGTTCCCTGAACTTTTACTTAAAGTAGCCCAATACGCTGTGAACTGTTTGTTTACTCAAAATAACGATAAGAAGATTTGTACTGAAATCTTTGTTTTCTTATTAGATAAGTTATGTGAATTATCCCCATCAACAGCTAAAGATGTTATTTGGTGGTTGGTTCATTCAACTGATCAAAGAAAATTCAATGTTCCTGTTATGTACTCCTTATTGAAAGTCCAATTGATCCAACCAATCAAATTGGATATTTCCTTAAGTAAGTTCATTAGAGAAACTTCAAATCCTTTGTTAGTGAAATTTGCTGGTAGTTTATTGATCAAGATCTTTAAATCCGATGCTTCTGAACCTGAAGCTGTTGCTACACGTAGTGAATTTGCTATGACTTTAGATTGTTTGGCCAGATATGATGGCGAGGATGGTCCTGAAGTTAAACAAGCAAAGGAAACCAGAGATCAATTATTTGAAATGTTGAAACTTGAAGAAGATGGTCAATTTGATGATATGTTCTCTCAATTGGGATATATCTTTACTGAATGGGTGAAATTAATCAGCCATGGAGGTGATATTGAACATCTTAAAAGAGACTTTATCCTCAATTTACAAACCAATGGAATTTTAACTGATCCGGAATTGTTTGGATTGTTCTTTAAAGCTGCTATTGAAATTTCTATAGCTTCTTACCCTACAGAACAAGAAATCAAAGCCAGAACTTTACATGAAACTACCTTAACAGTTGATGCTTTAGGATTATTGATTGTTAAGATCTTGGTGATGTTTGAAGATGATGAAGTTGTTGATACTATCAAATATTTGAAGAATATCATGGGGGTTATTTTAGTTGCTTTAACCAACGATCATGAATCTCCCGCCAATTGGAATGAAAGAGCTTATTTCAGATTCTTCTCTTCCTTATTAAGCTATTGGAATGATGAACTGATCTTAGTTAATGATGCTACCAAACATTTAGATGGTGAATTCTTCAATTTCATTGGTGATGTGTTTAATTCCTTACAACCAATCATTTTACCTGGTTTTACATTTGCATGGATTTCCCTTATTAGTCATAGAATGTTCTTACCTAAAGTTTTAGCTTCAAATAATCATAATACCGTGATCAAGTTATTATCGGCTTTATTAAGATTCCAAGCGGTTTATTCTAAAGATGAAGAAACCAATGATGATTTAATCAATGCTTTCTTCAAAGCTATCTACAGAATCTTTGTAGGTATTTATCATGATTATCCTGAATTCCTTGCTGAAAATTACATCCAATTATTAGCTATCATCCCAATGAATTACCTCCAATTAAGGAACATTGTGTTAAGTGCTACACCTAAAGATATCATTTTAGAAAGTCCTTTCACTCCAGGATTGAAAGTCGAACGTATAGAATCCATTAAATCTTTACCTACAGTTAATTATCCTGCAAATGAAGAGTTATCTACTAAAGGATTAAAGAAACCCATTGATAACTATTTAAGAATCCCAGCTTCAGGTCTCATAAAGACCATTTACAATGGTTTAAAGATCCCAGCTAAATCTGTTGATTTCTTCGGTTTCGATACCATCAATTATAATCTCGAACTCATCAATGGTTTAGTGTTATATGTAACCAACAGTAAGATCACAGAAATGAATGGGAATTATAGTTTCAACGCTAAAGATTCTCACGTATCCATCTTCTACGATTTGCTCAACTTCGGTTCGACTGAATTCAAATACCATTTAATCAGTTCATTAGCCAATCAATTGAGATATCCTAATGTTCATACTCATTGGACTTTAGGAATTTTCCTCCAGTTCATCAACTTGAAAACTTCATGGTCCAACAATGAAACCAAATCAACCATTCAAGAAATCATTGCTAGAACTTTAATCGAAAGACATATCGTTCAAAGACCTCATCAATGGGGGTTGACTATTCTTTTCACAGAATTGATCAAAAATGCCAATTATAATTTCTTCCTGTTACCATTCGTTAAGAATGCTCCACCGGAAGTCAAGTTACTTTTAGATTCATTATCCACAAGTAGTTAGACATTGTATAATAGATGTAGAATATTTTCTTACTCTCAGGTCCATCTTTGGTTATAGAGAGGTGTTGGGTCATATTTGGGGTGATGGGACTGTCAGACCTAATCTCTACCAGGACCTGCTCAAGTCCTACAGATACTTGACCCAGACAACTGACCCAGACAACTGACCCAGACAACTGACTCAGACACCTGACTCATTCGGTCTCGTGACTAAACCCTTGACGATCAGTGTCGCCCATATCGCCATTTTTAGTTCGCGACTTTCCCTCCAAACTAATCCCAACATATGTCCAGAGTTAAGAGAATCGCCAAAGAATTGGAAGAGTGTAGGCAAGATACTCAAAGTGGAGTTGATTTGAAATTGAATAATGAAAATGATTTAACCCATTTAACGGGTTATTTCAAAGGACCTCCAGGAACTCCTTATGAAGGTGGTAATTTCCAAATTGATATTACTATCCCTAATGAATACCCTTTTAAACCACCAATAATGAAATTTATTACCAAAATTTATCATCCAAATATCTCTTCTGTTACCGGAGCCATTTGTTTAGATATCTTGAAAGATGCTTGGACTCCAATTTTAACATTAAAATCATCATTGATTTCCTTACAATCATTATTACAATCTCCTGAACCTAATGATCCTCAAGATGCTGAGGTTGCCAAACATTACTTGAATGATTTAGAAGGGTTCAAAGGTACTGCTGCTTATTGGACTAAAATGTATGCTAGTGAATCAGTCGATACTCAAGTTAATGACTCAGCATTATATGGAATTGATAATGAGATTGTTGAACAATTTGAAAATATGGGTTTCCCAAGAGATAAAACCATTGATGTTTTAAGAAGAATGGGTATTAAGAACTTTAAAGGGGTTAGTGATAAGAGTGAAACCGAAAATAAGATTTTAGAGGAACTTTTAAAAGAGTGTCAATAATTTTGATTTCAGTTTCATCATCCGAAGCCTCTTAAACCAATGGTGAATAGTTCCCCAATAATTCAAGTAACCTTCGACCATTTAGTATAGTACCTCTCGTCCCATCCCCCAAAGTTCCAATATATGTCGCAGTAGTGCACCTCAGATCAACACTCTGAAAAATTTTGAGATCCATCAAATGACCACCACTGAAGTCTCCGACACTAAAAGTGGGAAGTTAGGTATCGAACGAGCCAATTCCATTGGCTGGTTGTTTATCGAACGTTATTATGAAATGTATAACAGTGATATCACCGATTTATATAAATTATATAGTAACGAAGCATCAGTTAGTCATGGAGGATTGAAAAAATCCGAAGGATTAAAGAAAGCTAATGGTATTGATTCTATTAAATTGTTATTTGAGGATTTAAAAGTAGATAATCATAATAGAATCATTATCATTGATGCTGATATCCAAGTTAGTGTAGGAGATAGCATTTTGATCATAGTTAATGGAGAATGGTCAAAGAATGGATCCCCATATTATCAATTTCATCAAACCTTCGTATTATGTAAAGGTGCCACCGATAGTAATTTTGATATTGCCAACGACATTTTGAGGTTCATTGATTATGATTACAAGCATGAATTATTGAAAGAACCCGAGATTGAAGAAGTTAAAGAAGTCAAACAAGAGCCAGAAGTTGAAAAAGTTGAAAAAGTTGAATCTGTTGAAACTGTTGAACCAATTGAAACAGCTGAAGCAACTGAACCTGAAACTCATGATGAAAGTGAAGAAAAACCTGAAGATGATGATGCTTCAGGTCCATTTTCTTGGGCTGCTTTAGCAGCTACTGCTAAAGATAAATCTCCAGTCATTACTAGATCACCATCAATTACTAAACCTTCACAACCAAAACCTCAACCTGTACCTCAACCAACATCCAATGGGAAATTCAGAAAAGAAGATTGGTTCCCTATCTATGTACGTGGATGTGAAGATATCCCTGAAAAGGAATTAAAAGATCATTTAACTAAGGAATTTGGTGAAATCAAATTCTTCAGACAAAATGCTAACATTGCATTGGTTGATTTCTTACATAGAGAAGGTCAAAAGAAAGCATTAGATGCACATAAAACAAAGGTTAAAGATTCGGTGATTTTGTTAGAAATCAGAGAAAGTAAATCTGGGAAGAAAGAGGTGAAGAAAGAGAAGGTGGATGTTAAACGTAAGGTGGATAAGAAGCCTGTTAAAAAAGTTAAGAATCAATAAAGGATAGAGGTTTGTGTTTCTGTGTCTCTAAATGTCCTTGTTTCTGTATGGTTCTGTGTCTCTAAATGCCCGTGTCTCTGTGATCTATTCTCTCGATCTGTTGGTGTGATGTATTCCCTTGATCTGTTACAGTGATCTATTCCTTTGATCTATTCCTTTGATCTATTACTTCGCTCTTTCACCGTGTTCTGGCGATCTTCCACCCCCTCCAACAGGTTCCTAAAATCGCTGCGTGTCCCAGAGCTTTCTCCTTTTCTTCACTCTCTTCCTGCGACTATCACTCTTTTCAATCTCGCGATTTCCATCAACTCAGCCTGATGAACTTCCTCCGTAGAAGAACTGGCTACAATTCAGACAGTGACGATGACAATGAACCCAAATCTTCCATAAATAAAAGCAGGAAACCTCCAAATACTGCTTTCAGGCAACAAAGATTAAAAGCATGGCAACCTATAATGACACCTAAATCAGTGATTCCATTTTTATTTATATTGGCTATCATATTTGCACCTTTAGGTATTGGAATTTTGTTCACTACCACCAGAGTTGAGAAAATATCTATTGACTACAGTACTTGTGCATCACATGATTCTTCTTATAAAACCATACCTTCCAAATATGTGAATTATCATCTCAATTCTAATAGTAAAGATGTGGAGTTCAAATGGAAGTCTGAAACCCACAAAGATGATTTTGATGATGATATTCCTTCATGTCATATCCAATTCAATTTACCTAAGGACTTGAAACCTCCAATTTATTTATATTATCAGTTAACAAACTTTTATCAAAATCATCGTAAATATGTTAGTAGTTATGATTTAGAACAATTAAAAGGAATTGCTGTGTCAAAGGATGATTTGGATGATGATTGTAAACCTTTGAAATTCGATGATGATGGTAAAATTATTTATCCTTGTGGGTTAATAGCCAATTCCTTCTTCAATGATTCCATTTCCAACCTTACATTATTGAATGCTAAAACTTCTCAAGATAATGAAACCTATCCATTGTCACAAACAGGAATTTCTTGGAACTCAGACGTCAACCATAAGTACAAAAAGACAGAATATGATCCTGAAGATATCGTACCACCACCAAATTGGTATAAAATGTTCCCCAATGGATATAATAAGACAAATTTACCTGATTTGAAGACCTGGGAAGTTTTCCAAAATTGGATGAGAACTGCTGGGTTATCTTCATTCTATAAATTATATGGAGTTAATAAGCATGACAAATTAACATCAGGAACCTATGAGATTGAAATCAAAATGAATTATCCAGTAGAAATCTTCGATGGTACTAAATCTATAGTTATCACCACTAATTCGATTTTTGGTGGCCGTAACTTAAGTTTAGGGATTATCTATATAATTGTAGCTATAGTTAGTTTAGCCTTAGGAATCTTATTCTTATTGCAAACTATTATAAGACCAAGAAAGGTAGGAGATCATGATTTCTTACAAAATTCCAATCGAGAACCCACTGCTATTAGAGAGCAGTTGTAATAAAAGTCTTCTTTTTCTTCTTTCTTGTTTCATCCTTTTTGATTTGGGACCTTTTGATTCTGGACCTTTTGATCTTAGTTCTCTAGGCTTTGTACTCCTTGGATATCACCACCACATCTCTAACAAATACTCTCAAACACTCATCTTATGAACCGCGCACGACTTTCGCGAATCATCAATGGAAAAATTATCACTTACTTTCCAGCGTTAAAATATGAACGTCCCACAATTCCAGTATTTACAGCAGATGGGACAAGGGCAAGGACAAGCAAATAACGCCCAGTCCCCTCAGGTCTCTCAGATTCAAATGCAACAACAGTTACAACAACGTCAACAGATTTTAAACCATTTACAACAACAGCAACAGCAACAGCCAACTAACGGTACTAATCCATTATTGGCAGTTATCAATGGTGGGAATTCTAATTCATCATCAAATTCCAATCAAGGAATAAACATGCAACAGTTACAACAATTACAACAATTACAAGGACAGGGCCAGGGTCAGTTTCAAGGCCAGGGTCAACAGTTCCAAGGACAACAGTTTCAAGGTCAAGGTCAAGGCCAATTCCAAGGTCAATTCCAAGGACAACCAGGACAAGGACAAGGACAACCACAAAGTCAATTTCAAGGAAATCAATTCCAACAACCAGGTCAACCGGGTCAACCAGGTCAAGGGCAACCAGGTCAAGGTCAACCAGGTCAAGGACAACCTGGACAAGGACAGCCAGGACAGCCAGGACAGGTACAACCAGGACAGGTACAACCAGGACAAGGACAACCAGGACAACCTCAAAGTCAATTTCAAAATCAAAACTTCCAAATACATCCAATGCAACAACTTCCTATGCATGTCCCCCCACCTCAGGTGCCAATAGTCCGTGAAGTATGGAACCACAATTTAGAACACGAATTCACTTTATTAAGAAATTTTACTAATGATAAAACCACCAAAGTTTACGTCTCTACACATCAAGAAATCCCCGGGATCGTTGCCAGACCCGTTGGAACATTTAAATCATCATCAGATTATCATTTCCAAACATTAAGATCCAATGCAGACCTTTTAAATTTAATCCAATTATCATTATGTGTAATTAAAATCAACAATAATAATGAAATCAGTAATTCAATAATCTGGCAATTCAATTTCCATTTTGATATTCACAATGAAATGTATAATGAAGAACATTTATCATTATTATCCCAAAGTTCTCAAATCAACTTCAATAGTAGTTTAACTGATGGGATTCAACATTTCCAATTTTCCGAATTAATCATTGAAAGTGGACTTTTATTAGATGAAACCATCAATTGGATTAGTTATCATGGAGGTTATGATTCAGGATTCTTCTTATCATTATTAATGAATGATAATTTACCTTATAGTGAAGAAGAATTCCAATGGTATATTAAGAAATATTTCCCCAACTTCTTGGATTTAAAGTTCATTGGCAATACATTATTAAATAAATCTAATGAAGAAAAACCTGCAAATAAACCATCAATTGAATATTTGGCTGAAGAATTACATTTATTACCAATATCTCCAATGATTCGTCAATTTTTCACCAGTAATTCCAATAATCAATTAAACAGTCAACAAATGACTTCAACTTTACATGCTTATTTGATAATGGAATGTTTCAAAGAGTTATATAGACAATCAGGTTACGATAATAAGTTATTTGATAATTTCAAAGGGTTAATTTGGGGATTATCAGGGAATGCCCCTTCAACCCCTCCTACTAAAGCTGTTCAACTTAGACCTATGTAAGTTGAAAAAATAAAGTATAGAGATTCCAAAAGAAAAATTCCCAAATAGGAAATTTCAAATCAGATTCAAAATGTCCCAAATAGGAAATGTTGTTTAGAGTCCGATCTAAAAAATTTCCCTTTTGTATGCATGGTGTATATTATAACTAATCTTTAATTCCTTCCCATTCTTCATTATTATCATCAAGTTTTTGCTTCTTATAATCTTCCATATCTTCATCCAACTCCAATTGTTTCTTACTTTCTCTTTCAGCTCTCTTCCTCTTTACTCCGGCTTTTTTATCTTCACCTTCTCTTACTTCATCATCTTGAGGTGGTGCAGTAAACCAAGGAATTTTACCACGATTAAAATCATTCAATACTTGTTTAGCAATTCCATGTTCATCAGGTTCACCTCCTTTTAATAATTTCCCTTGTTTTCTAGCTATTAACTCTATAAATTCTGATGTAGCTTCTTCTAATAATGAAGGATCTTCTTCAAAATTCTTCCATCCTTTGATTTCATAAGTTCTTTCCAAATGCTTTCTTTGACATTTTTGTAATAAATCTGGAATATAAGTTTCAGGATTTGAAACATGTTCAACTCTTACTACACCACGGAAAAGAATATCTGAACTGGTATCTTTAGATGATGGTGGGACAATTCCTGGACAATCAATTAAGAAAATTTTCTTCATTAATGTGATATATTGCCAAACTTTGGTTTCACCAGGAATTGGTGCCACTTGACAAACCTTCTTACGACGTAAAGTATTGATGATAGATGATTTCCCGGTATTTGGGTATCCAATAAACCCAACAGAAATTTGTTGTCTATCACTGTGTAAAGAAGAGAATTGACGTAATAATTGAATCAATGAACCTTTACCAAAAGAATTGGTAATGGAAGCATGGAAAGCTAAAGTTGGATAATTCTTAGATAAATGTTTAACCCAAGCAGCCTAAAAATGTTAGTAAAATAACCTTAAAAATTTAAATAAATGGGAAATGGGATTGTTGTAAGAGATGTCGGTTCCTATACTACGAATCAATCTATGGAAAAAAGAAAGCTTCAACTCAAGAAGGTACCGATATTATTCTAGATGTTGATAATAACTATCAACGGCACAAACAAAATACTACCAAAACGGTAAATATTCTAGCAAAGCTAGGTTTGCAGGCGAATAATATTAATTTCCCAAAGACGTAACAGGCGATTTCTTAGGTGGTTCAGAAATTACAACCCAAAGATTGAACAACTGATCGAAATTACCCTGACATATGCTTTGGATTCTTTAACCGAAATGGTATAATAAAAAAACAATCCCAACACCAAATTCTCTATACATACCGCTATCCAAGTAGGAACTAAATCACACTTATTCAATACATAAATCAAATGTTTATGTGGACATTCTTCTCTGATATACTTCTCAACACTTTCACATCTTGTCCCTAAAGGATCTCTAGCATCTAAAACATGAATAACCACATCTGAAGAATCAATAACCTTATATAATTCATTCCAGATTCTTTTAGATTGACCTTTATGGAAAATAGCTTCTTTAGCTTCTTGAGTAAACCCATCTTGATCCATGATGGAACCTCCCATTAAACCTAAAGTAGCATTTAATTCTTGTTTATCATCAAAAGCAACACCATCCTTTTCAGTGACAGCAGCTAATTCTTCTAAACTTGAAACTTGTAAGTTTCTTGGTTTCTTACGTTGTTGTTTAGGACCAAAAGCTGAATCATAAGATTCAGTTTCAATAATTTTCAGAATTGGTGATTCGGTGGTATCTTTTTCATCTAAAAGTGACATAGGCAACTTATTTCTTCTTAATAAAACTTGATAAGAATTATCCTTTTTATCAGCCATAGCATTTCTGAAATGTGTTAAAGCATCTTGGGCAATGACTCTGGTATTACCAAACCATCTTCTGTTAGGATCAACTCTAGCAATTGGAGCATCAGTACTTTGTAATTCGGCAGCTCTAATAATTTCACCATTTTTATTTCTAATGGCTCTACCTCCTTTATACATATTTAAATGCTTAACTTTCTTAGCATCTCTATAGAAATTTTCACCTTTAACTCTAAGGTTACCATCTCTAACATCTCCTTGTCTAACTCTTCTACTTTTCTCTTTCTTAGCTGTCCCCATAGTTACTCTCAATAAAAATTTTATTTGTGATGAGATGCGAAGGGTGAGATGGGCCTGAGATGTCGTATGTGTCGCAGATGTCGTATTGATCAGACAAAATCTCACGCAGTTTGTTTGATAGAGTTGGCTTTTTTATAGCAACGGTGGGTTTTTGAAAATGGAAAAAGAGGAATTGATGAGTAATAATGAGTTTCTTGATGATTTAACTCCCTCAGAAGAGCATTTCCTTAAAAAGGTTCTTCTTGAAAGACGTTTGGACCGAGAATTGCTGTTATTATCTAATCCTCATAGCCTTAGATCTTTTGGATCTCCATTTAAGACTGATGCCACGATTTCGGAGAAACTTTCAAAGGGAGAATTCCCCTTATTGAAATTCTTTTTCGATAATTATATCACCAAGTTCCCATTTATCACCAATAATAGTGAAAAAGATCAAACGGTTTTCTGGCAAGAAACGGTACAGCCGTTTATTGAAAGTGTTACATCGAAAAATCTTTCCAATTCCAATGATAGGAAAGAGAATGTCACCAAAAGAAGGCAAATGAACAGGAAATTCACTTCGGGGTTGTTGCTTTTCTATAATTCCATGATAATTACTGAGAAAGATCTAGTATATCTTGAAACCGATCATTTGAAACCAAGTGATGTAGGGAAGTTAGATAAGATCAAAGCTTATGAAACACCAATGCTTAGTGATGTTCATGATGATGAGCTTAGGTTTGAAAATGGGTTGAATGTGAATATTGTTAGTGTTAAGATAGTTAATCAGAAATCAGGTTGGTTCAGGAATGATCATCATTATGAGTTCATCATACAGATCATACATGAACAAGGAGTTAAGTATTATGTTTCTAGAGCGTATCATGAGTTTAAAAACCTCGAGCTGGAACTTAAGCTGAAGTTCCCGGGGATTATGAATATTGAGACTGGGAAATTACCTGCTAAATTCAAGCATGATGCCACTACCTTGGTCAAGGAGAAGCTCAGATTATCCTTAAGGGGATATTTAACACTGTTGGTAAGTTTCAAAGAGATAGTGGATTCTAAAGAATTCAAATATTTCATTTCTGAAGGAAAATTCAATGATCTCACTCCTGAACAGCAACAAGACTATGAAAAACGTCTTGATCATGAAAGACATATTCTCTCTACTCAATTTGAGTTCCAAAAACAACTTAGTAATATCATGATTGATTTTAGTAAACGATTTGATGATTTCAAAGCTCAATTGATCAAAGATCCTTCAACTTTGACTAAAATTTTCCAGGAAATCGGGTCGAAAGAGACTTTAGATGATTTATCGCCATTATTATCGATATTTATTGATTGGTGTAAGATAGAATTATCAGCAACCATCTTTCAAATATTCTTAACTCAAGATAACTCCAATGAGTTACTTACTAATTTGAGTAAATTCCATCGATTATTCCCTTATGGCATCACTTATAACATTCTTAGGTTTACTAATCCGATAAGTATCATTAGTAAGATCATTAATCTCTTCTTGATAACCATTCCAGGTACTAAGAATAAAAGTCTTTTATCGATGTTATTCATTATGCTTTTAGATGAGGATTTGAGTGGCTATGAAGTGGAAATTGAAGATGTTAAGAAGAAGTTGAACTTCCCTAACTTTGTAAGTGCCATAGAGACGTTTATTGATGAGAAGTTGATTGAAAGTGATCTAGATATCGATGAAAATTTACATGAAATCTTTAATAGTATTGAAAAACCAACCAAAGAAGAAAGTCAGTTCCTTGAAAACCCAGACACTGCCAACTTAACTAACCTTAAACAACTTTATCAGCTCAAAATCAGACATAATGATAAGTTGATCATGAAGAGTCTTTGGCAAGAACCAGAATTAACCAAACTACTCAAGAATTTCCTCATCATCTTCTACCAACCATTGATCAAACTTTTAAGTAAAAGTAAACTTCATTTATTCTTCCGAGATTTCCAACACTTCAACGATGAGCTAGTGGAGCTTCTAGTTAAGTTGAACGACGAAGAAATGTACTATCTTAGTTCAGTGGAAATTTTTAATAGGTTGATGAAATTGCTCGATGACCATATTATCATTTTCTGGAGATTTATCCATAATTTATATAACAACGATGATGATCAGTTATTCCATAAGATAATCAAGTGGATAGAAGATTTCCTTGTGAAGTTAAGAATGAAATACACCGATGTTGATAAGGTAAAAGTCAGGATCAAATGTGATGAGCCTTTGAATAAAGATATTTTCTTAGACCAACTTCATCAGATCATGAACAAGACTATAGAGAAACGGAAATTGTTCAAGAATCATTACCAGAAAGATAAAAAGGATAGAAAAGAGAATAGTCTTGAAGATAATTGGGATAAGTTACATAATTTGAATCAAAATGATGAAGAGTTTGGGATGTATAATGAAGATGTAGAAGAGTATAATCTAGAATTGAATAATAAGGATGAAGAATTCCAAAAAGAGCTTAAAAAGATCAATGATATGGTGGTAGATACCAGTGAAATAGATAAGTTGGATGGGACTTTGGTCGAAGAGTTGGAGAGGATTTTTAGATCAATCACCGCGCCGGAATTATTTTAGACAACATGTGTGGTATCAGTGTTGGAGTATCAGTACGATGGCACTGGTGACATCAGATATTCCATGGTACCAACTACTTCATATCATAAACTATCCACAACCTATGGTCAAATTCATCCCTCCAGTCTATTGAAACACTCAAGTTAGCAACTCGGAATATAAATCGGCCACAGGGCTTAGAATTCATAATGCCGTTTCCCTATACTTCTCGGCCTCTTCACCTTTCTACTCTTTCAAATCTACCAAATAATCGACCCGAATAACCACCTCTCCACCACCAACACATCCGTCAACTCCTCCATCCAACTCCACCATCTAAACCAACTAGATCATCCCCACAAACTCCCCTGAGGCTTTCTAACGGTTTTGCGTGTCCCTACCACAGGAACATTTGGGGAAACATCTCGCGTGAGGAAAACTTGCTAATGAGGCACATCATAATAAAAATAGTACTGGTGCTATTTATACTAGTAAACCTACAATTAGTAGTAGTTAACTGGTATAAAGGAAACTATGAGAACTTCAAACCGTTGCATCGAAATCTTGCCCGATTTCAATGGAAAACCGTAGTGTTTAACCAGCAAGAATTATCGGAAAAGATCGAACTAGATCATTTAGTTAAAGATAAATTATCACAAATCTCCAAAAGTTGGCTTACAAAGACAGATCTCGCTAAAATAGAGGTGGCTGTAGACTTTAATCAATTTGTTGGAGATTTAGGATGGTTAAATAAAGATGAAATTTATTATGATCCAAGATTCACCTTAACTATGTATTTGAATGCTATAAAGACTAAATATTTAGATGCTGGAGGTTCTAAGATGTTTGGTAAGATTGATAGTAATGAGGTGTTACCTATATCATTACCATTTCATTGGGTTGATTGGTTAGATGTCACTGTATTGAACGATCAGTTAACTAAGCCTATGAAAGAAAGAATCGATTGTAAAGTCTTACAAAAACATACCAATCATAACCCTGAGCCGGAATATTTCTGTTCCAATGATCAAGAAGTCGAAGGGTTTACAAGACTGCAATTACCGGGATTCATCATCCATAATCATTGTCATCATGGTGATAGAACTAGTAATAATTTCCGAGTTTTACAAGCTAAATCTTATGTGATGACTAATATGCCCAATCCCAAGCAAGTTATCATTTTGAATAATAACGGAGGGACCTATGAGTTTGATGTTGGATCGAAAGAAAGATTATTAAAGTCAAAAATGATCTATGATTATATTGGTAGAAAACCTCAACTCAATTATATCAATCATTTGAATGAGTTAAAAGATTTACAGAGTGAAGTTCATCCTTTAAGACCATCACGTGAAACCTTGTCGTTGTTAAACCCTAAAATGTTCAATTATGAAGCCAATGTAGAGACAAAAGTTGAAATGGATGAAGAAGAAACCATTTATTTCAAACTGCCAGTTATGGAAACTGAAGATCCTAGAAATGTTAACAAAGATTGGGGTTGGTCTTATGATTGGAGGTTCTTTAATGGAGCTTTCCATTATGAAAGAGATGGATTCACGGAATTTGAATTAGAATTCCGTAAAAAGATCATCTTGGACCGATTAATTAGAAACTGGAGTAGGTTCAGTGAATCCAAAGGATTGATTAATTGGATATCAGGTGATACTTTGAAATCATGGAGACGTAATGGAATAATTTCCAATTTGAATCATCTCGAAGTTCAAATGCCTATTTCGGAAATTTTGAAATTAGTACAATTCAATAACACTGTTGTTGTAGAAGATCCAACTCAAGGTTATGGTAGATATTACATTGATGTCAATAAGTTCATACATAAACGTAAAGGTGGTAAGAATTTCATTGATGCCAGATTCATTGATGTTGAATCGGGAGCGTTCATTGACATCACCGGATTGTCGGGAGATGACATCATATATAATAAGCACGAAGAAGTTTTCAGCATCAAAGACATCTCCCCTTTGAAACAATCTACTTTGAATGGAGTACTTGTGAATATTCCATCTTATTGTAGTACTCAATCATATGAACATGGGAAATATTATATCGATAAATTGAATTTATGGATATCCAAAGACCAACTCACCAAGACATTGAACGAAGAAGAAGTTCATAATGTCGATAATGAATATTTATCAATCAAAGCATCCAACTTAACCAATAGTGAAATCTTGATTTTGTTGGATGATAAAGTCACGTTACTTGAATATTATCTTACTAGAGATTATACCAGCAACCATGAGATTGAACTTAAGTATTTGTTTGATGAGTTGGGAGAGAACAATGTTCAGATAGCACAAATGGATGAGTTTAAGAGGAGATATAATGAGTTTGTACTGACATTCAGGGATGGGAAAGTGATGACTAAATGTTTATATGATTTTGAACATTTCACCCCACCCGAGAGTCACCCTTAGTACCGAGGTTTTACAGTCCAAGTGGTCTAGAGTGGGCCTGTCTAGATTGGGCCTGAAGTGGTTCAGAGTAGGTCTGATTTTGTCTTTTGGTACTGCACTACTGATCTCCTGTACTGATTTACATTGATCTCCTAACTACCAAATCTCCAATTACTACCATTTGTCTCCCTACCATTTGTTTTACTACTCAACACCATTCGTTTCATTACCCTTGGAACACTCTTCACATTTCACCTTCACTTCATCCCATTTCACATGCCCTCGGGCCTTGCATTTAAAATACACATTTAATCTTTCCTCCTAGGAATTTCTCACTTCTCACTCGTCCTCGCTACCTCCCTCGCTACGCTCATCCTCGCTACGCTCACTCACTAAGCACACTCCCTCAACTTACCCCTAACTTTTCCGATGCGAAAATTCAACGTGCAAATCATGAGTGAAGTATCTACACTTTTAAGGAACAGAACTAAACCCAAGGATGCTTCCACCGAAGAACTCCTCATAGAGAAACTAGATCTTTTCCTTTCATCCATAGAATCTCGTCTTGACCGATTTGAACAATATTTCAAGTTCACTAATCTACAAGATCTTGATGATGATTTGAAAGATCTTAATGAATCTGCTATTGATGATGATGATACTGCTGATTCCTTCACACCCAGATCTAGAAGTAATAGTAATGCCAGTTTACAAAGCTTTAAGAATTTTGCCAAACTTGATCTTATTCATCAAAGACTCAAACTCATCAAGTCATCAGTACTCAAGAGTTCCATTTCCAACTTAGATTACCTATATAAAACCCTTGATGATCAATATAATTATTTGTTCTCCAACGAATCATTCAGTCCATCGGATTTATCCAACTATTCCAAAGAAATCCTAAGCGAGAAGATCATTACTACGTTACATTATTTCGATGAGAAGTTGATGCATATAGATGATGTGATTCAGAAGAAGATGAAGAAACCTGTTGATACCGATGGTTCCATTTTCAATATCTTCAAATTCTATAATTTCAATAAAGCTTTAAAACTTTCTCAAAAGAGATATTTGAATTATTATGAGTTACCCTTGGGTTGGAGAGAAAACAGATATATTATTAATGGATATAGATTTTCATTGAGTCACAAAACCATGCTTAAATCGATATTCCAATTCAATCATAATGAATCAATGAACATTTGGTCTCATTTACTTGGAGTAGGATTAATGGTTTATTTGGGGATGGTTCATTATCCTACTACCAAAGCTTTTGAATTAAACTCATTTCAAGATGATTTGGTGGTTTATTTCTTCTTAGCATGTGCCATTACATGTTTGATAAGTTCCTCGGTATGGCACACTTATTCATGCTTTGCTAAATTGGCTACTCGTTATAATTTCGCTTGTATTGATTATACTGGGATCACCATATTGATCACTTCTTCCATTATTGCCGTTGAGTATGTATCATTATACAATTATCCTAAGTTATTGGTTAGTTTTGTAGCATTTTCAATATTCTGTGGAGTCTCAGGGTTAGCTTTTAATTGGTCACCATATTTTGATAAGCCAGAATGTAGATCCATTAGAATCGGATATTTCGTTAGTTTAGCAGGTTTGGGAGTGGGAACAATGATAGTCACTGTGTTCTTTGAAGGGTTCATTAAAGGTGTTACCTTCTTCGCGCCTTTATTCTATAAGAGTTTCCTTTGGTATTGGATTGGGGTCATCTTCTATGGAGGTTTAATCCCTGAAAGATGGAGATACGATGTTATCATTGATGATGATGAAACCTGTGATCATGACCATACTTCCAGTGATGTGTTATCGGGGAATATTGAAAAGAGTGGAGAAGAAGAATATGAAGAGATTGAAACGGAGTTAACTCAAATCTTAAGTAACGAACAACCAGAGAACGAAGACCAAAAGTTTGATAATATCATTCAAAAACATTTCCCCCTTAAGCCCAAATATTCCAATTATCGTAATGATTTTTTCTCCCTTTGGTGGATTGATTATGCATTTTCAAGTCATAACCTTTGGCACATGTGTGTTCTCTCAGGGGTTGTAGGACATTATTATTGTGTATTAGAGATGTTTACCAAGATTCACTGATCCACAGGAAGACCACTAAGGAGACCCACTAAGGAGACCCATTAATGAATAACGAGGCTAATAGACGTGATTTCTACATACTCTCATTTCTAGTTTACTCTTGACTTTGCTCATGCGGACATCTAACTCCTGCGGACATCTTACTCTTCTTATCCGCTTCTCCTAGAGCCTTCCCATTCAGAACCCTTTCATTCACCAAAGCCTCGTCCTATTTCGTCTAGCAATTGTATCACGTGACAAACTTTTCTTGTTTTTCTTGTTAAATTCTTGTCGTTCTTGGACGTCAAAAAATTTCTCCGATCTTATTGACACCTTGCTATTTTGACAGTACCGGTGATAATCCCATCATAAGAATACCAGGAATTTCTAGATTTCGCCATTCAAATGAAGGTAAATTCGTCATCATCACCATCTCATCTCAAATCAGCCGTACCATCTGTCTCTCCGTTTTTTACCCCAAAAAAGAAGGTTTTATCTGAAATATCGAGGGTACCCTTTGTTCTTAACCAGTCGGATGTGTTGTTACATCATTCAAAAATTTGAATGTTTAACTTCAGATTTTTTCATGGCATTGACTATAAATACCCCAGATATTCTTCCCTGAAAGTAATGGGGTTCGATATAAAATCAAGAACTAACACCTACGGGTTAACAGGAAGATCTTTAAGAGTTGCAATCACTGCTACGGCTGTGACTGCGTTTTCCTTTTTCGGTTACGATCAAGGTTTAATGTCCGGTTTGATCACTGGTCCACAATTCAATCATGCTTTCCCTGCTACTGATGGGATTAAAGTCAATCAAGGTGGTGTAACAGCTGCTTTTGAAATCGGATGTTTATTTGGTGCTATGTTTGTGTTATTCAAAGGTGACGATTTCGGTAGAAGACCTTTGATTATTGCTGGTTCGATTATTATCACCATCGGTGCTATAATTTCTACTTTATCGTTCAAAGATAATTGGGCTTTAGGTCAATTCGTCGTAGGAAGAGTTATTACTGGGTTGGGGAATGGTTTAAATACTGCTACAGTACCAGTTTGGCAATCGGAAATGTCCAGAGCTGAAAATAGAGGTAGATTGGTTTGTCTTGAAGGTGCTGTTGTTGCTGTTGGTACTTTTATTGCTTATTGGATTGATTTTGGCTTCAGTTACATTAACAATTCTGCTCAATGGAGATTCCCTGTAGGATTCCAATGTGTGTTCTCCGTCATTCTTTTCTTTGCTATTATTCAATTACCTGAAAGTCCAAGATGGTTGATTGCTCATGGAAGAAATGAAGAAGCTAGACTTATCTTGGGTAAATTGAATAACTTAGAACCTGATAGTGACATTATTGTTTCCGAACAAACAGTTATTTCCGATGCTATTAAAAACTTCGATAAAGAACAAGCAGGATTCATGGCCTTGTTCACTGGTGGTAAAACCCAACATTTCCAAAGAATGTTATTGGGAGTTGCTGGTCAATTCTGGCAACAATTTGGTGGTTGTAATGCCGCCATTTATTATTCTACGGTTTTATTCGAAGAAAGTATTGGTTTAGATAGAAGATTGGCTTTAGTATTAGGGGGAGTTTTTGCTACCGTCTATGCTCTTTCAACCATTCCTTCTTTCTTCCTTATTGATACCTTAGGTAGAAGAAAGTTATTCTTTATTGGTTCAATCGGTCAAGGGGTTGCTTTCTTGATAGCTTTTGCTTGTTTAGTTAACCAAAATGAATCCAATTCTATTGGTGCTGCTGTGGCCCTTTTCATTTTCATTATCTTCTTTGCCTTCACAATGTTACCATTACCATGGATCTATCCACCAGAAATCAATCCTTTGAAAACCAGAACTGTTGCTTCTTCAGTATCAACATGTACTAATTGGATTTGTAATTTCGCTGTGGTGATGTTTACTCCAGTTTTCATTGAAGCTAGTGGTTGGGGTTGTTACTTATATTTCTCCATTATGAACTTCTTATTCGTTCCAGTGATCTTCTTCTTCTATCCTGAAACTGCTGGAAGACAATTAGAAGAAATCGATATCATCTTTGCTAAAGCTCATGTTGAAAACAGACAACCTTGGAGAGTGGCTGCAACATTACCTAAATTATCCAACGATGAAATTGAACAACATGGAAGAGATTTGGGATTATATAAGAACTTTGATGATGAAGAAAAGAGTTATGAAACTGACTCTAACATGAGTAAACCTAATGTTCAAGAAAGAGATGTGAGTGTATAGAGTAATTGAATGTGTATTATTTATGATTCTGTCCGATGGGAACTCTATGTGATTTTCCGTTGTTTTGTTTCTCAGTAGCTTGTCCATTACTTCTTAGTAGCTGCTCAGTAGCTGCTCAGCAGCTTTTCCGTTACTCCACCTACAGACTGATCTCATATCGTTCTTCTCTCAAACCTTTCTCCTTCCCTCGGGCCCTTCTTCGTCCTTCTCTCAGGCCCTTCTAGTGTCTCTCATATGTCTCAAACCCTCTCATACTATCTACTGCTTAGTCCATGTCAAGTCAACATTACCACCCCTAGGAACTAAATAACATATCAATATAGGTACTAGAAACTTCTTATTCTCTAATCCTTTGTCTATTACTTCCCCTGTTTTAGGATGTTGTTCGGTTTGTTGCTTTATCAACTTGTTATATTGGTCTATTTCCACTTTAGTCTTCGCTATCTCCACTATTCCCACCATCTTACCTATATTGTTTCCTTTGGCTGAAATCACCACACTTTGACTTTCTTTGATCAAATTGATTATTTCCTCTACTTTCTCATTCATGGAATCTCTTTTGCCAATGATAATGGGCCCAGCATTCTTCAAGGAGTTCTTGACTTCGATATCACCACTGATTTCCTTGATTTTATCCACAAATATATCATCACTCATCGCAGTAAATGCGAAGTATGAGATTTGGCTCTGCGATTAGATCTGGAGATTAGGTAGAGGGTGGTAGACAGGGCCCTGGAGGTGGAGGTAGAGACAGTGACATAGATGGTAGGTATAGTGGTAGAGACAACATACGATAACTAGATAGCTCACTTCTTCTTCAGTAAAACCATAGACGTATCATATTTACCATATCTGCTAGGCAGTTCAAGGGGATTGTATCTCACTGATTCCATGACTTTATCATGATATTCCTTCAATTTGGCACTAGACAGTTTATCCAAATAGGGTAGATGATGATATTTCGGTAATTTTGTGAATGGCATTGCTGTCTGAGGCATTGGTACCGAAGAATATTGAATGGGTAAAGTAGGAGCCAAAGGTCCTGAAAAAGGTATATTGGCTTGTTGTGGGACATAATTGAGGTTTGTATGAGGTAACGCGGGTACTGGTGCAATTGCATGCTGTGCTACCGTAGACAGTACACTTGGCTGATGAAGTGTAGAACCAGAAGATTGCATATTGCCTGGTTGGCTCCCACCTTCTCTAGAATCATAGAATGTTTCCTCGTAAACTTCCTTAACTAATGGATCTATACTTACAATAGATTCATTATCACTCTCCTGTTTAACCATCATGATCAACGGATAACTCTTTAGTACGGGATTGGGTAAAGGTAAAGGATTAAATGGTGGGAAATTCATCATGTTATTCTCCGGAGTGATTCCATTAACTGTGGTCTTCTTGGTCAACGATTTTCTTCTAAGCATTGGACTAACTTCTCTTTGTCTCATAACACGGATAAGGTAACTTATAGATTGTAAGAATGGAGTGGTTAGACCATTTTCTTGACAATCACTCAATAACTTACTCAAAAGAGGACTTATCCCGAGTTCGAACCCATTGGTGAAGTTGTAATACCTTACATTTGCATCCAAGAAAGGTTTGGTATGGTGGAGAGACTTCAAACTCAACAGAAGGTTGGTTTCTGTCAAAGTCATGATTTGTAACAATTTAACACATTCGTCAGTTTGAGGTAAAGGGAAGTCAGTGGTATCTGACACGCTGATAAGGGCAAGGATTTCATTGAAACTACCTTTAAGGATTGGCAACAGATCAGGCATTTGGGTCAATTTCAAGTAATCATAATCTTCAAATATTATGGATAAACAGTGGAAACAAACAGTTTTGATGATACTCTTCCAAACAAGCTTCCGAAAGAATTGAAACGATGCTGGTGATAACACAATGAGCATGTTATTGTGGCATTTCATAACTCTTTTCAAATCCAGAAATACTACACCTTTCTGGTTAAAGTTGGAAACTGTAAGCAATTGAGATTTGATATGACCACGGGAAAGAACACCGAATATCACCTTGTACCCGTTCTTGATGACTTGAAATGTGTCTGAAGTGAGTTTTCTACACTGTATGTCAGAGTATACCGCCATTACTGCATTGGGGAACACGTTATTGACTTTATCGTACAACCAAAGATCTAGGCTACAAGTCACCAAAATCAACATATCTTCTCTAAACCTATATCTGCTGTTGATGAGCTCACTATAAAACAGCTCATCAAATATAATAATATCATAATCAACTACATCAAGATTGTGTATGGTAAATACTGGGATTTTGTAAGTTTGTTCATTTATCATAATACTCCAATTTTTCAGTATCTTAGTGAGATGACTATCATAATAAGTTATATTCCACGCTAACTCATGGAAAACAAAGGCCAAATAGACCAAATCATTGGTATCACCAATAAGTAGTAACCTGTTCATGGAAAATATCCACAAACACTATCGCGATTTGCAGCCATTAAGCCGCTCAAGACGTGGGGGATTGTTATTGTGGATATTGATGTTTGTGGAAATCATTTTCCACGGGGAAATTCATTTTCCATAGATTTACTGTAGAAGTTGTAGAATTTCATTAAGGAGAAAATTGTGAAAATCACAGAATCTGCATTTTTCACTATTTGAAGAATATCCCTACAAGTGAATCAAAGAGATATCAGGAGTGATAATCAACAGATCAACACTGATCTTCCTAAAGTATGGTACCCAAGCACCTCAGTAGCAAAACATTAGCCCAACAAAATAAATCAGTGTAATGACTCAAACCGGGAACGCCGCTCCGGGTATCTACGAAAGTCCACACCCTCCTATTTCCACTTTCTTACCATCTCAACAATCCTCCTACCAGCTCTCCAACTACTTACCTCTTCACTCACACACTCCACCATCCAATCTCAACTCGACCCTACCACCATGTCATCTCGGATATTTTAACCTAAAATGGACTATGCGATACCCCAGAATCAGCGGAAAAATCCAGTCTCGATTTATGCTCAAATTATTGACCAACTTTAGAGGACCAAAATTTAACAGAACTAATATATTGAAAATGTCAAGCGTACCATATAAACAACCTGAACACAAATTGACCATGATTCCAGGTCCAATTGAATTTTCTGATGAAGTTTTATATGCTATGGCAACTCCAAGTCAAGCTCATACCTCACCCGAATTCATCAAAACCTTCCAATCAGCTTTAGTCAATTTAAGAAAATTATTTAAATCAACTGATGCTAAAGCTCAACCTTTTGTGTTATCAGGATCAGGAACTTTAGGTTGGGATATCTTTGCCACTAATTTTGTCAATGCTGGTGATAAAGTTTTAGTTTTATCAACAGGATTCTTTTCTGATTCATTTGCTGAATGTATGAAAGTTTATGATCTTGATGTTGATGTTGAAACTGCTGATATTGGAGATGTTGTTTCATTATCAAAGATTGAAGAAAAATTGAAATCTGGTAGTTATAAAGCTATTACTATTACTCACGTTGATACTTCAACATCTGTTGTTAGTGATGTTAAAGCTATTAGTGAATTAGTTAAGAAAGTATCACCAGAAACTTTAATTATTGTTGATGGAGTTTGTTCTATTGGTGTTGAAGATTTAGAATTCGATAAATGGGGGGTTGATTATGCTTTAACTGCTTCTCAAAAAGCTATTGGAGTCCCTGCTGGATTATCGATCTCATTTGCCAGTGCCAGAGCTATGGATATTGCTTTAAATAGATCTAAAGATACTTCATTCTTTGCTTCAGTTAAAAGATGGACCCCAATCATGAAAGCTTATGAATCAGGTTCAGGTGCTTATTTTGCTACTCCTGCTGTTCAAACCGTTACCGCATTGAAAGTTGCTTTAGACCAAATTTTATCTGAACCTTTGGATCAAAGATTTGCTAAACATGCTGAATCAAGTGATAAATTCAAAGGGGACTTAGAAAAGATTGGTTTGAAAATTTTACCTGTTAATAAACAAGTTGCTGCTCATGGTTTAACTGCTGTTTATTTCCCAGAATCTATTAATGGTCCTGATTTGTTAGGTAAATTAGCTACCAAAGGATTCACTGTTGCTGGAGGTATTCATAAAGCTTTACCAGGTAAATATTTCAGAGTTGGTCATATGTCTCATTCAGTATATGAAGGTCATTTAGATCTTTTATTCCCAGCTATTAAAGAATCATTATTAGAATTAGGATATAGTTCTTGAAGGGCTAAACTCTAGTTGATGGCGAGGGGAACTAGAGTGAATATATATTTAAATTAAAATGTTTCAGGTTGAGAGATAATTACCCTTTTGGGCGAATTATATGAACCTGAAACACTCTCGATCAACACCTCTGCTTGCATGTGCATACAGTCAGAAACAGACCGTAGAACACTGGAAGTGATAGATAAGATGTTATAGACAAGACATTTGATTAGAAACAGTTCCCCATGGCTCTAGGGAGACTGGGTTGAAGAAGACAGTAAGCGTAAAATCATTGCAAACTTGAGAGTCGCGACAAATTCTAAAATGGCCATCCCATTCGATATTGATCCCTATGAAGTATTAGGTGTAGATGTCAAAGCCAGTCCGGTAGATGTCAAAAAAGCCTATAAGAAACTCAGTTTAAAATACCATCCAGACAAAATTCAACAATTACAAAAATCTCATGATGCTGACATATTCCCAAAAATTCAATTTGCATATAGCATTTTATCTGATCCCCAGAAAAGAAGCAGATTTGATCATACAGGTTCATTAGAGGAAGGAGGAGATTTCGACTGGAAAGAATATTTCGATGGTATTAATGAAAAAATCACCATTGAAATGATTGAAGAAGATAGAGTTAAATATCAAGGTAGTGAGGAAGAGAAAGACGATATATTCCAAAATTTTGTATATTACGATGGAGATTTCCTCAAACTTTTTGAAGTTATACCCCATTTGGAGTTTGATGAAATATCCGAAGAAAGAATCTTTCACATTATTGAAGGTTTAATAGAAGAATTCCCTCAAGAAACCAAAAGTTGCATCAAATCTTGGGATAAGTATAAGAAGTCACGTAAGACCAAAGTCAAGAATAAATTGAAGAAGTTGGCAAAAGAAGCCAAAGAAGCTGAAGAATTAGAGAAGATGATCAAGAATAAGTATCAAAATAATGATTTAAAATCCATAATCAAATCTAGACAAAAGAATAGATTGGATGATTTGATTAGTAACTTAGAATCAAAGTATGTAGATAAGAAGGGTAAGAAAAGACAAGAGATGAATGATGAAGAGTTTAATAGAATCCAACAAGGAATGAAGAAGAAAAAGAGAGTTTAATCTGTAATATAAGTTATTTTTATGTGTTAACCTCTATTTTTATGTGTTAACCTCTATTTTTATGTGTTATCCTCTATTTTTATGTGTTAACCTCTAAAAAATTCTCGCTATTTACCGCCACTTCTCACTAATTCGTAAAAAAATACTACCATTTCTCACTAAAACCTCACTAAAACCTCACTAAAACCTCAACCCCATTTATCTCATCTTTCTCACATTGGATCTATCGCGTTTGTTTATGAGTGAATCAGAATCTGACTTTAGTGAAAGTGTACACAGTGAATCTGATTTTGATGATTTCGATGGTTCCTTCGAAAAGAAGAAATCATCACAATCATCCCAATCATCGCAAAAGAAATCCAAACCTTTAGGAGATTCAACTAATGTCACTGAAATGATAAATTCACAAACTAAGAAAACAGCATCAGATCAATACCAGAGATTATCTCAATTGGAACATATTTTGAAAAGACCCGATACTTATATTGGATCAGTTGAGAGATCACCTGTTGAAATGTGGTGTTTTGATGCCACTACTGAACAAATGGTATATAAAGAAGTATCTATCGTACCTGGATTGTATAAGATATTCGATGAAATTCTTGTCAATGCTGCCGATAATAAGATCAGAGATCCTACCATGAAGAATATCAAGGTAAAAATTGATCCTGAGAACAATTTGATTGAAGTTATGAATGATGGGAAAGGTATTCCAGTTGAAATCCATGAAAAGGAAAAGATATATATCCCGGAATTAATCTTTGGTAACTTATTAACTTCATCTAATTATGATGATGATGAGAAGAAAGTTACTGGGGGTAGAAATGGGTATGGGGCCAAATTATGTAATATTTTCTCTACAGAATTTCAATTGGAAACGGCTGATGCCTCTCATGAGAAGAATTATAAACAACTTTGGTCAAAGAATATGTCAGTAGTACAAAAACCCAAGATTACAAAGATGAAATCCAGTAAAGAATTCACCAGGATTACTTTCAAACCCGATTTAGGTAAATTTGGTATGGATTCTTTAGATGAAGAGACTTTATCAGTATTAAGAAGAAGAGTTTATGATTTATGTGGTACTGTGAAAGACTGTAATGTTTATTTGAATGATAAAAGATTAAGTATTAGGAATTTCAAGAGTTATGTGGAAATGTATGTTAAGGCCATTAAGGAAAGAAATCCTGAACCTGAAGATGAAGAGAAGAAATATCAAACTATCGTTCATGAAGTATTTAATGATAAATGGGAAATAGCTTTTGCTGTTAGTGATGGGACTTTTAATCAAGTAAGTTTTGTTAATTCTATCGCTACTACAACTGGAGGAACTCATGTGAAATTTGTTTCTGATGCCATTATTTCAAAATTGATTGAACAAGTAACTAAGAAAGAGAAAGGGAAGAAGAAATTGATGATCAGACCTCAAGAAGTTAGAAATAATATGTTCTTATTTGTTAATTGTTTGATTGAAAATCCAGCTTTTACTTCTCAAACTAAAGAACAATTGACTACCAAGACCAGTCAATTTAACTCTAAAGCTAAGGATAAGTTGGTAATCAATGATCAATTCATTACCAGGATCTTAAAGACTTCCATTGTAGATAAAATCAGATCTATCGCTAATGCTAATGAAGATAAAGCATTACAAAAAGCTGATGGATCAAAGAAATCAAGAGTTAAAGGACAAGTGAAATTAGTTGATGCTAATAAAGCAGGAACTAAAGAAGGTCATAAATGTACATTAATTTTGACTGAAGGGGATTCAGCTTTATCATTAGCTGTGGCTGGTTTGGCAGTCATAGGTAGAGATTATTATGGATGTTTCCCATTAAGAGGTAAACTTTTAAATGTTAGGGAAGCTTCTACTGAACAAGTAAGTAAGAATGCCGAAATCAATGCTTTAAAACAGATTATTGGATTACAACATAAAAAGAAATATACTGCTGAAAATATCAGTAGTTTAAGATATGGTAGTATTATGATTATGACAGATCAAGATCAAGATGGTTCTCATATTAAAGGATTAATCATTAATTTCTTAGAATCAAGTTTCCCTGGATTATTAGAAATCCCCGGGTTTTTATTAGAATTCATTACTCCTATTGTTAAAGTTACTATAAGTCAAAGAGGTGGAGGGAAGAAAATCATCCCTTTTTATACGATGCCAGAATTTGAACAATGGAGAGAAACTGAAGGTACAAGATGTAGATGGAAACAGAAGTATTATAAAGGGTTAGGTACATCAACAGATGTTGAAGCTCGTGAATATTTCTCTGCCTTAGACAAACATTTGAAAAGATTCCATGCCATTCAAGGGAATGATCCTGAATATATTGATTTAGCATTTTCTAAGAAGAAAGCTGATGAAAGAAAAGATTGGTTACAAAATTTCCAACCAGGAACTCATCTTGATCCAAATTTACAGATCATTCCTATAGGAGATTTCATCAATAAGGAATTAATTTTATTCTCAATGGCTGATAATGTAAGATCCATTCCTTCAGTTTTAGATGGGTTTAAACCTGGTCAAAGAAAGGTTCTTTTTGGATGTTTTAAGAGAAATTTGAAATCTGAAATCAAAGTAGCTCAATTAGCTGGTTATGTTTCAGAACACACCGGTTATCATCATGGAGAACAATCATTGGTTCAAACCATTATTGGGTTAGCCCAAAATTTCATTGGATCTAATAATCTTAATTTATTGAAACCAAACGGTGCTTTTGGTACCAGAGCTGCCGGTGGTAAAGATTTCTCTGCTGCTCGTTATATTTTCACTGAAATTAATGAAATCACTCGGAAAATCTTTAATCCTTTAGATAATGCGTTATTGAATTATGTTCAAGAAGATGAACAAACAGTTGAACCCGAATGGTATGTACCAATTATCCCCATGTTATTAGTTAATGGTACGGAAGGGATTGGTACTGGGTGGTCGACTAATATTCCATGTTATAATCCTAAAGATTTAGTTAATAATTTAAAGAAAATGATGAATAATGAAGAATTAGATGAAATGATGCCATGGTATAGAGGTTGGGAAGGTAATATCGAACCTTTAGGTAAAGATAAATTTAAAGTCCTGGGGAGAATTGAAGAAATTGATGATACTACATTAGAAATTACTGAAATCCCCGTTAAAACTTGGACTAATAACATTAAAGAATTCTTAATTAGTGGGTTAGGTAATGAAAAGACCAAACCTTGGATTAAAGATATGGAAGAACAACATGGTATAAATATCCGATTCATCGTTAAATTGATTAAAGAAGAAATGGAGAAATCTTATAAGGTTGGATTATTAGAAAGGTTTAAATTAGTTTCTACCATCAACTTAACCAATATGGTAGCGTTTGATCCTAGAGGGAAAATTAAGAAATATGAATCACCTCTTGAAATCTTAAAAGATTTCTATTATGTTAGATTAGAATATTATCAAAAACGTAAGGATTTCATGACCGATGATTTAACTAACCAATTGACTAAATTGACAGAACAAGCCAGGTTCATTAAATTGATCATTGATAAGCAAATATCCGTTTCTAATAAGAAAAGACTCGAATTGGTAGAGATTTTAAGTAACCATAACTTCAAAAGATTCAATAAAGAAGGGAAGATTGTTGAAGATCAAGTATCGATTGATGAAGATACTGAGATGGATATTGAAGAACAAGAAGCCAATGCAGATATCAGTGAATTGAATGCTACAGGAGTTAATAATGATGATGATGAAAATAGACCAGAAAATGTTTATCAACAATATGATTATTTATTAGGAATGTCATTATGGTCATTAACCAAAGAAAGGTATGAGAAATTATTGAAACAAAGAGATGATAAACAAGAAGAATTGACCAGATTATTGAGGAAATCAGCTAAAGATTTATGGAATGAAGATTTAGATGAGTTTTTGATTGCTTGGGAAAAATTCTTGGAATTAGATTTTGAAGCTAGATCCAGTGTTATTCCTCTGAAGGGAACCAAGAGAAAGGGTAAAAGAGTAATGAATAAACCTAAGTTGGAAAAGGGAGACAGTAAGATTAAGAGAGTTAAATTGGAGAAATCTGATAGTAAATTAAAAGCTTCTCAGAGTTATAGTCAATCCCAATCACAACTTCCAACCCAAGCATCACAACTTCCAACCCAAGCATCCCAATCCCAATCACAACCTTCAACCCAAGTTCAAGCATCTCAATTATCACAATCATCTTCAACACCTAAAAAACAATCTCAATTACCTGAATTCTTCTCGCCTCAAACTAAACCAATCAAGCAAGAAAAAAGAATCATCAGTATCTTTAGTGATAGTGAAGATGATGAATTGTTAGGTTTAAAGCCATCAGCCCCTCCAACAAAACAACCTCATCCAATACCTCGTGCTGAACCAACAATTCCCAAAGTAGAAAAATCAATTCCCAAAACAGAAAAACCAAAAGAATCTTCTCAAAAAAGATCTAGAACTCCTGGTCAATCTCCTTCACCACCTCCTAAAAGAAAAACCAAATATAAAGTAATTGATCTGGACTCCGAATCAGAGGTTGTATCGGAATCAGATGCCATTTCAGAATCATCTTTTAATGAATCTGATGATTCTTATGATTAAATAGATAAATACATATCGGTTCATACACGACCTATTATAATGTCTCGTAATTTACGAATGCGATCCGCCTTAGTTTTTTTTTTATCCCTCAGCTCAGGCCATCTCCACGATATATTTAAGTGACCTGAAATTCTCCCTTTTTTCGACATTATGGATAGGAACTATAATAATTATATGCCAAATCAAGGGTATCAACAATACCCTTATGCCAATGTGAACTTATCTAACTTTGAATTCAATTATAAGAATACCAATGATTATCAATATCAACAAGTTCAACAAGTTCAACAACAACCTCAACCACAAGTTCAACACCACCAACAACAACAACATCAAGGACATCAAGGACATCAACAACAACAACACCACCAACAACATCAACACCAAACACAAAACCAAGGACATCAATCAAACCAAAACCAAAACCAAAACCAAAACCAGAACCATAATCAAAACCAATATGATTATCAATACACTTCTTCAGTGAACTCATCATCCAGTTCAACTCATTCTCCAACCGTTCAAGCTGGTATGTTCAACCACGAAGTTAAGGTTCCTGGTTCAAACTTGAAGGTCAATCAACAAGAAATCTTAATGTTGAAACAATTGTTATCCACTGGTGAAAAGTATAAATGGAAACAAATCACTAAAGATATTAACAACTATGCTGCTGATAGAAATGGGAAAGTTATAAAGAACATTTCTCCAACTTTTGTTATTAAACAGTATCAGACATTATTAGGATTACCTAATAATCAAATGTATTTTGGAATGTTGGGAAGTTCTTTACCATACGTAGTTCATGGATGGGAAAATGTTAATGAGGTAGATTAGGAATAAAGGGATTGATTTACTATATACTCTGGGAGCGACTGTGGGAGCGACTGTGGGAGCGAATGAACTGCCAGGGTCATAAGGGTTGTTTTGAGTCATATACGGGGTAGAATAACAATCTCTTGATGAGCTCTGGTAGTTTCGTCTCCTCATGTAGCTTTGAATTTGATCATTTGGCTAGTATTCGATACTATTCTCCAGTCCTCCATCTTCAACTCTGACACACCAACAAACACTCTAGTAGCATCGCTTCACACCCTACACCCGTACACCAGATCTCACTCAGTCTTACACTCTTTACATTCACCATCATTCAATCCCGTGGAATACTTGTCAATATGTCCAAGGTTCAACTCCGGGTCAAGTTCGTTCCTTATCAACTGTTTAAGGAATTTGGAATCGGGGAATCCCTCATAAGTGTTCTCCATTGGTTGAGTATCAGTCTTCATCTTCTTTCTATAGATCACTTTGTCATCATAAAGAACTCTGAAAGTTCCAGCAGGATTAGTTATTGGTTTCAAGGAGATTTCATCTATTTTACCATCAAAAGTGTAAAGGAGTTCTTGGACGTACCAAATAGCACGGTTGTGCCATTTACATTTAGTGCAGTATTCTATGGATATCTTCATTTGAAAATCTCGCAATGAGAAGTGGGGGATCAGATGGAAGTGGTGGTGATGTTGATACAAGTAACCACACAAGTAGTCACAGAAAGAGATGATAACAGAGATGGCATACTAAGAGCTAAAACAAACCCTATTATACATTATAACGCCATACTTAACCAATCAAGATTATCCTCCTGTAAATACTCCAGATTCAACAAACTATCATCCAATTCATGAATTGCATGCAATTCTTCTTCTCTTTTGACATTCATCCCTGTCACTGATGATGGAGTTGAGATGGGAGTACCATTAATCCCCAAACCAAAAGAATTGGTTGAATTAGATAATGAATTCGGTACTGAAGTTGGTATAGAACCTAAAGAATTTACAGGTTTTGATGAAGGAGAATCTCCAGTTGGAATATTAACTGGACGTCTTTTTTTAGGAGATTTTTTATCCATAACTAAATTAGTTGGATTTAAATCATCACCATCTTTTACAGTTATTTTTTTACTTGAATTTGTACCTCTTTGACGTTTCTTTATAACGTCAGTTTTAAGACTTAAAGGTCTGACAACTCCATGTAATTTTAAGAATAATCCACATGCATTACATAATGGTTGACCATCAGCATTTCTTCTCCATAATGGAGTAGTTTTGGTATGACAATTAGTACATGAAACATTACCGTCCATGATATTATTATTGGAATTTTTCTTATCTTTTTTCTTTTCTTCTTCAATCATTTCTGGAGAATGGGATTTTTTCTTAATATTTGTCTTTGATCTCTTATTCTTGGGTCGTTCGAGATTCTTAAAGTTATCAAAATATGAATTTTCATCAAATAATGGAGAATTGAAATGTGTGGGTAATGATGATGAAGTATTTGTATAAGGAGAATTCAATTCATTCAAATTTACTACTGAATTCTTATGAGAATGGATTTCGAAATCAAAATCGTTATTGGATTCAAAATCAAAATCATTAAATTGATAAGATGTTGGGATAGTTGCTGAACTGGTAGTTGACGTCGTGGGATGGTCAAAAGTTGGAGTTAATTTTGATTTTAAATTTGATGTTAAATTTGATTTTGGTGTTGAATAAGTTCTATTAAATTTGGGAAAGATTTGTCCTGATTGACTAGTTGAATGGGAAGAATTTGATCGGGAATGAATTGGTCTAACAGTTATTGGTGAAGGAGCATTCATATTTATGGAAGTTATGCTATTTGAATGCGATAAACTGGTTATAGCTGAATTTGAATGTGATACGGGTAAACTGTTCTTATATGATGATGTTAAAGCCTCATGATTATTGAGATTCATAGGATTATGTAAATTATCGAAAAAATCATTATTAAAATCTTCCATTTCAACATCTTTCTCGAAAAACTTCCCATTATCAACTTCATGGTTGAAATCTACAAAGGTATTATTATGATCTTGGCCCATTTTCTTAATATGAGCGATATAATCGAATTCTTCAGCTGAAGGATCGAGATTTTTAGGTTTATGAGAATTTAAATACATCATTCTCCATGTTAAATTTTCCATTCTTGATTTATAAGGTAATGAATCTTTAGCTTTACTATATAATTTCCAAATTTGATCGGAATTTTCATCCTGTAGTAATTTATCTATATCAAAATCTTCCATTTTTCCTGGAGGATTTCTTAGGGGAAGATTTTTTGGGGGGTTTGTTTTTGGGG